CCATCTGACCCAGCGGCTTCCCCACCAGAAACCTCCCACAGACACGCCTGCAGGAGAGGCGCCGGGGCTGCGTGCGTGCGTGTCACCGCAGCGCTGCGCGGTAGCAATACGGCGGGAACATGACTGTCTGGCAGTAAAGGATTTGTTACATAAATCAAGCGCATCCACACAACACACAGCATGGAGCCACCGTAACAGAACAAGCCGGAACCAACAATGAAGACACAAGAGCTCAGAACCAGCCTGGCCCAGACTCAACTCATGTTAACACTGATTAAGTGGGACCTGGTGTGTGCGCTGAGAAGGAAAGACGTCTCAGAGACACAGACGCCCAGAACTGTGGGGTAACGTGGTCCCATTTACGTGGGAAGTGCGACAGGGTGTGCACGTCACCTGGGTGTCTGTGCACACACACGTGCGCTTACGGCCTCTGCTGTGTTACCTGTGGGGCCACTCGCAGGCAGGAGGGCCGTCGTGCAGACTGACTCCGTTTTGTGTCTTCTGTTATTGGCATGGCTTGTTACTATGTGTGTGTACTTCAATTATTAAAACAAAAAACACCCAAAGACAGAACTAGAAGAGCAGAAGGCCGGAGCCACTCTGAGCAGAGGCAAGAAGCCCTACAAGTGCCAACACCCCCCAGGCCACTGTGTGTCACGGCACGGGCCTGTGGGTCACCGCCCAGCCCAGGCCCGACCCTGCGACAGCAAGAAATGGCCAAGTAACTGTAACCAGCACGCTCCAAGGTGTAAAGATGCTTCTTCAGTATTTTAGTATTTTAGAAAGATTTCCATCCAGAATTATTACATTGAAGGTTCGAAAGAAAATCAACTTCGGTTACTGGAACAATCAAGTCCTGTGGAATACTCAAATCCCCGACGCACAGGTAAGTGAGAGAAAGAATAGAGAGGGGGCCGCCTGCTAGAGTGAGTCTCAGTAAAACAAAGCCACAGTGCAGCCAGGTGCCAGCTGCGTTTCAGGGGTGACCCCAGGAGATGGGACACCCAGAGTGGCTGTAAGGACCTCAGAGGAGGCTTCACTTCAAGTGTCTGTAAGCGACGCCGGAGGAGGAGCCGGGCGGCCGGCGGTCAGTGAGATAACGCGGCTCGAGGGCGGGCTCTGTCCTGCCAGGAAGCGGAGCCACTGCGATTCTCCGGCAGCACAGGAACTTTACAAGGTGAAAGAGCAAATAAGGATACGGAGCGAGGTAAGACTCGACTCCTAAGACACAGCTACTTCAACGGATCGGTTTTACTTTGGCCAGAGGCCGCAGCTTAGGAGCCTTTTTAACAAAGCCCCCTTCTTTTGACTACAAAAGCCATCTGATACGCTCATTAAGGAAAACAGAAAATATAAAGAAAATAAAACTAAGCCAAAAACGAACTACTTACATTTTTAAAAACATTTTAGGTTATTATTTCCAACTAATTTGTAATGCAGTCCGGGCATCCATACAGTTTTGAAAAAAGTAATTTAGTTTATATATGTATATATTTTAGAAGCAAAAATACATAAACTTCTACGTCCTGCTTTTTTTTTTTTCAACTTACCATCCCACGGACGATGCCTGACCCAAAAACACTCATAAGCAAAATGGCGGAAACGAATAAACTCCGTTACCTGGTGCACATACTCATCCATACTCGACGGCATGTCGAAGTTGACGACCAGCTTGACGCTGACCAGGTCCAGGCCTCTTCCCAGGACCCCCGTGCTCACTACAACTTCATAGTCTCCTTCAAGTAGCCCCTTTCCAAAACAGCAGCAAATCCATTACTCAGGGTTTCTCTTACGTGGTTTTATGTAACTAGATTACCCTTTCCTTCTCCACACCTTCCTCCGTCCTGCCGCTGCACCTTATCTGCAGGAAGTGAAGGGCTCAGTACACCTGAGAAACGCATGGCACTTAACTTCCTTCTGACTTCACCCCCTCGCCCCCGCCAAGAACGTTTGCTATTAATTTATTAACCTTTTCCAAAGGTGAGCTACTGCTCTGCCCCAGCCCAGAGTGACCTAATTCCAGAAACGACGGCTTGGGAATCACTCAGCAACGTAGTGGATGACCCCTAGGAGCACTGTTCTTGCCCCCAAAACACAGCAGCCTGAGCAGGAGGAGCGAGAGACCGCAGTCACTGCTCGCCTGGCGTCCTCGCGGCCACTGAGAAGGGGCTGCCTTAAAACAGCTGGCAACACAGTGATTCCTGAAAACGAGGCAAAACAGATTCACAGCAAAGAGAAGCGAGCAGAATGCCGTGTCAGACCTTCAGCACGTGTCTCCTTTCGGTCTGTGACTTCTCCGAGTGCACAGACGTGCTTCTTAGGCCTGTGATTTTCTCAACTGCCTCGCTCAGCAGATCTGCTCCCAGCTTGCAGTCCACAAACACCAGCACTGGAGGCCTGAAGAGCTTCTTATCCTGAAAAATTAAAAACATGTATTTGAAACGATTCACACAACATGATTTATGGATGTTTTTCTGGAAGCATTGGTATAAGCCACTTATCAAGAGGTTTATCAATAGTGTTCAGAAGGGAAAAAGGCAGCTTCTGTTAAAATGCACACACAGTGGGGAGGTGCCAAGAAGGCGGAGGACAGTCTCACAGCTCCCCTCCTCCCACAAACACACCGAGACTTACACCCACAAACCCACAGGCCCGCACGAAGCCCACTGAGCTCCGGCAGACAGTCTCTCACTTCGAAATACAGGAGAATTCTCGCAAAATCCAATGAACAACAAGTTTATACAGCACAGCACAGGGAACTACATCCAGTATCTCGTAGTAACTTACGGTGAAAAAGAAAATGAAAACAAATACATGTATGTTGTGAATGACTGAAGCACTGTGCTGTACACCAGAAACTGACACATTGTAAACTTCAATAAAAATACACGCCAAGAAAAAAAATATGCACAGAGAGAAGCCAAATGCTGGACAGCCCTCCATGTTTCTCCGCCACGTCATTAATCTTGCAAAAACAATTCTAAAACTTCAAGTGCAATTTATAATTTCTAATACTGTTCATAAGTCAATACAAACTATATTTAACTTAATACTGTGTTTTTAAGTAACTTTGCATGTACATACTATTGACTTGAAAATTTTCTGCTTAAGCCAGTTAGTGTTAAAAAGCCCTATTTCTCAAGGACAGAGGCACAGCCAGCAAGGAATTTGTCTTTACCTTATCCATAAAGCTACTAAAAACTTTTGAAACAAAAAAATTCTTCAGCAATAATCTTAATACTTAAATGCCTTTCTATAATAAGGAAAAAGAAAACAACCCTGCGTCTACACCGCGTTTTCACAAGTAAGAATTTGTTTGGACCCTAGAGAATTCTGAAGTGAGGAAAGCAGTTTATTATCAAATACCGACACCAGCTCCCCCGAAGCTGCAGCTAACAGACACTCTCTCAAGGACGAGGGACTTGCAAACCCGATCGACAGAGTAGGGCTGGCCACGCCACCACTCACGTTTAAGATTTCGAACAGTTTCTTCTTTTTGGCGGGGTCTTCCACCCACAGAACAATCTGGCGCACGCTGGCGCAGGGCAGGTTCTTCTCCCCAGCGACAATTCTCACGGGGTCACGCAGAAGCTGGCCAGCCAGCTGCTCGATGCTAGCGGGAATCGTGGCCGACACCAGGACGGTCTGACAGTCATGAGGAACGTTTTCCAAGATGTCAAACACTTGCTGCTGGAAGCCCATCTTTAACATGGTATCGGCCTGAAATAAAACCATTTTCAAGTTAGTCCCGCTAGTCGTGAAGACCCAGAGCCACCCAAGAAAAGGCTGATACAGTTAAGAACATAAAATAATCAGGCGACGGGAGGGCACCGCTCAGTGGTGGAGCGTGTGCTTAGCACATACCAGGTCCTGGGTTCAGGCCCCAGCACCTCTGTTACAAAATACTAAATAAATAAATTAACCTGATTACCTCACCCCAACAATAACAAAAAAACCATAAAAAATCAAAAACTCTTTACACAGAAAAACATACCACAACATCAAAAGACAAAAGATTAGCTGGTAAAATATGTATCTCTACAAATTTACACATGAAAATACTGCAGAGAGAGGCGGGTGTGAGCCAAGTCTGTCCAAGGGCCATCCCCAGGCTCCTGAGAAGGGAGACCTCGAGGACACGGGCTTGTCGACAAAGGGAAGCCCCGTCACACGGTCAGGGGTGCAGTGATCATAACCCGGGGTGAGCGGGTCCACTGACAGCCAGGCCAGGAAAACAGACTTAGCAGCACTATTTAAAGGACTGAGTAATATTATTCTACATTTATAGGGGACTTTGCAGTCTGAGACGTTTTCACAGTCATGACTTCATCCTTGCCACGAAATGACCGGCCCAAGGTCTCACAGCAGGTGAGGTAGAGGCTCAAAGCCCCCTCTTGGGGGTCTTCCTCCACACCCTCTGGCATCCCACTGCGACTTACTGGGGTCACGGAAGGAGGCCTGGCTGCCATCAGCGGTCAGCACCTGGCGCCCAGGTTCCTGGGTGCTGGGTAACACCAGGCGTCTGCCACGTCACTGCCAGCAGGTCGCGTGTGCAGGCAGGACGGCCGACACGTGGCTCTGTGTCCTCATGCTCGTCCACGGGGTGGAGTGTCATCAGATAATAACACATGCACTTCCTATCAAGCATGCCCAAAGTATAAAAGTGCCTGCTTGCTCTATGTGACACAGAAAAGTCACAACCACAGACACCGGTGTCCACACAGAAAAACAAGTCATCAGGCTACACGTCGTTAACTACTTCCCAAATTCCTGCTCACAGCCATCTGCCACCGATGCTTTTTTTTTGCAGACAAACGACAGGCAGCATGTTTGAAAAACTTATCACTGAGAATACAGTACACCTGCTGAATTTACGTTTTCCATCAATTAGTAAAAGACAGCCCCGCTGTAAATTAAGTGCCCCGTACCTGGGTTCTGCTGCGCTGTTACACTGGAACCAGCTTAGGAACCACCACTGCCAATTAAAAAAAAATCCCCGCGTTGTTTTCCTTTTGGGGAGAAAATGCCTGAACACACAATGCAATTATATAACTATGAACGCTTTTCCTGAATTACATAAAATTACATTTTTAAACACCACTACTTACTTCATCTACCACTACGATCTTCACACTGCCAAGTTCCACAGAGCTCTGCTTTATTATATCCAGAAGTCGCCCGGGAGTTGCTATGATAACCTGAATAAAAGAGAAAAAGCAAATTAGAAAATTAGATAATGTTCATTCCTTCATTCACTTATTCATTCTGTACTTACTTGAGAGGCTATTTGCCAGATACTGTGTTAAGTACTTGGACTCAACGATGAGTAAGTCAGGCTTTGTCTCTGCTCTCATGAAAGTCATGACACACGGAAGGAGCACAACAGTGCGAGCCCAGGGACCAGGACGGGGGGTCTGCCCAGTCCTGCTAAGACATAAGCCAACACCCGAAGGAGCAGTGGGGGCGAGCGAGGCAGGGTCCTGGGAAGGGAGGGCACCCGGGAAGGTGAGGCAGGGTGGTGAGGCTGGGGGGCCGGGAGACTGACGTGGGGGGCGGGCTGCAGGGAATGGCACAGGCCGAGGCCTGGGGACGAGGCTGGGGCCAGACCAGGAGGGCCTTCTGAGCATGCTGACCACTATCTGGCTCCGTGAACAAGTGCAAATTCCTCAACCTCTCTCCGTCTGTTGCTTCATTTTTAAATTAAGAGCCTGGGCACAATGACTTCTAAGGCTGATTAAGGCTCTTAACAATTTTCTAATATAGTCATTGTGGTTAAAAGTAGGGGTCTCGAGTCCAACGAACTTCAGCAGGGATGTTGGCGCCTGCATTTAATAACGGTGTCTGTTCTGTCCTCACAAAGTGGAAGGATCATAACAGCGATGAGGCTAAGCGAGGCCGTGCCTGGGGTGACCTGGCAGAGTTACAAACCATCTAACGCGTTCAGCTGCACCCCCTTTCCAGGCACACACCAGCGTGATGGTGAGATGGCTGCGGTGATGACACGTCCGGGCTAGGGGTCTGTCCCCAGGACCTCAGACACCCACAAACAGTACATCAACTTCCATGACTGAATTGAGTTCCTCCTTCTCTTCCATTTTCCCCTCTGATGGCCTGGAAGGTATAAACTTATTTTTTCATTCTTTCAGTGCTTTCTCTTGAATTTCAACAAAAATATAACCTAATATAAAGTTAGTGGACACTTTTCCCTTGTTCTTAACCATCGAGGGCAACTCTGTAAGGCGACCCCACCTCTCCCGCACTCCCGTGCTCCTGCTGGCCGGTATCTGCTGTGTTCCTGTCACCGTTCGCTCAGGCCGCCCCTGTCTGGCTGTGCCCCGGTGCCCCATGTTGTCCTGGTGCACAGCTTCCTCCCACCCCCACCTTCCCCTCTAGAATCTTCTTCATCTGCAGAACAGCCTGCTCTGGAAGCTCCTTTAGATGGTCCACTGGCAATAAACTCCCAGTTTTGTTCATCTGAGTGGGTCTTTGTTTTGCCCTCACTCTTGGAAGACAGCTCTGCTGAGCAGGCAGACGGCTGTTACTTTTTCCCCAGAGGGTGGGTGTCTGTGAGGCCGGGCACCGGGAGGGGATTCAAAGCAGGGCGGTGGGGGTTGGCAGGTGTGCAGGGTGGGGTCCAGGGAGGAAGGCCTCGCCGCGGGGGAGGGACAGTGGTGGCATCCAGGGGGGCTGGGCAAATAAACAGCTACGTACAGGACAATGGGCAGCAGGCTCCTCACTGCCAGAGCTAAAACAGAAAGCCGGACACGAATCTGGGGATGAATCAGAACTGGAGGATCAGCGTGAACACGCGGACTCGGACAAACGCAGACACAGAAATACACCTGCTTAGACGCCTGCCTCTCTTCACTGAGGCCCTGGAAGCGGTCACAGCTCAGCAGCAACGAGCCCAGGGAGACGCCGGGTCTCGGTTCTGAATGCTGCTCTGGACAGACAGCACCGGCCTGGCTCTGGGAGGAAGAGTCCCAGCCTGAGGCAGGGAAAGAGCGCAGTAAACGCCGGACCTCCCTTAGCAGGGAAGTAAGAGGTACTAGAAGGACAGGGCTAGGACAAAAGGACACAGAAACGGACCTGAAGGTACTTCCGCTGGTCAGATTACAACCCTTTAAATACAACAGGGAGCCATGTGTCTGTGCTGATGCAGACACTAGGGAGGAAGTTTGGTGACGCTCGGTAAAGTCACAACCTGAAGTACCTCCCCCAAAATGCCTGCTCAATACAAAGGGCAAAAATAACTTTTACACTTACTCAGCAGTAAAAGGCCAAACTGAAAGGATGTAGTGGAAAGAACAAAGTGGCCCCCCGTGACGTTCCCGTCAGAGATGGGAATCCGATCCGCTGAGGGACGTCCCTCAGTAAGTGGCTTATAGTCCTCAAAAGGGCGAAGACCACGAGAAAAAAGGAAAGATCATTTGACGATGACAAGAGGGACAGGGCAGCTACACTCAATGAATAGCTCTGAACTCTAGTCTGCTGCCAGGAAAGACACTGAGGGGACAATGAGCAAGACCTAAGGGTCCACAGCGGTGACGGCAACGCCAGCATCGGGAACTGGACTGTGATCATGAAGGGTGACGTCCTGCTTTGTGGGAATCACACGCTGAAGTGTATCAGCCGTGGTCCTCAGACACAGCAGCCGGTGGGTGCTCCCGCAGCCCCTGGCGAACATGAGGCACTCCATAAAGCGTGCTCCTTTCCTCCCAGAGGAAACAAACTCCAAGAATCTTAGGGTGGGGGCATGGTACAGCGCAGCGGTAGAGCGCATGCTCAGCACACACAAGGTCCTGGGTTCAATCCCCGGTACCTCCTCTAAAAATAAATAAGTAAACCTAACTACCACCCCTGACAAAAGTAAATAAACTTAATTTTAAAAAATTTAAAAAAAGAATCTAAAGGCTATCTAAAATCACACTCCAACTCCTCAAGGGAAAGCCTTAGCTCCTACGTTGCTCGCGACGCCCTTCAGGGACATTCCGCCAAAGGGAGCCCACCTGGACGCGCTGGCGCAGGCGATGGCGCTGAGGCGGGGCGGGCAAGCCCCCCACGAGCAGAGCGGTCCTCATGCCCGGCAGCCCGCGCATCAGCTCCTTGGCCTGGCGCTCGATCTGGATGGCGAGCTCCCTCGTGGGGGTGAGGACCAGTGCGGACGGGGCCCGGCTCTGCAAAGACAGGAAAACACCGCCATCAGTGCGGGCAGTGGTGGACCAACCTCCGAGCCGCTCCAGGAGCCCTTCCCTCTCAAAGCGGTCCCACCAGCCCTCTCGCCCTCTGCTCACTGCAGTTCTTCTCCAGAAACATCCGAGTTGCACCCTGCTCTTAAATAACGCAGATACACAGTGAAAGATCAAAACTGGGCCAGGGAGAGGCGTCTGCAACGATCAGGGAGGGAAAGCCGAGATCTGGCTTCGCGTCAGCTAGACTCTGTGACCTTGAGCCACCCTCCTGGGAAGAGAAACGCCCGTGGCCACGGAAACCGGGCTGAAGCCTTAATTCTACCCGCGATTTCCCCTACGCGTTCTTGTAGCCACTCATTTCTTGCTCCAAAGACCTCACGTGCATAAACGCTCTGTTTCCTGTCCTGCGCGGTTCCGGGCTTCCATCGAGTTTCACCTCCAACATCTAGTGTTTTCTTTTTTTAAAAATCATGTTATTTTCTGCTACTCTTCAGTTTTCTAAAATTTGCTCCTTTATCTCTTCTCCTTTGCCTACATTTGTCACTCCTTCCTCACAAACTCACTAGTCCTTGGCAAACAACTGCTCAAGATGTCCTCTAAGCTAATTACGTGTGGGAGTGCTTTATACACCTTAAACCAGCAAGTAAGGCAAGGCAGCATCAATTTAGGATGAACTACTGATCACATTTAGTGGTTTATTTTCAAACTCTACAATAGTGTTCCAACTTCAGTATCAGGTTTTTCAAAACACAAATGCAAAGGAGGCTAAACTGACACAAAAACCACAACTCATCTGGTCAGTGGGATCCCCCCAAAGCCAAAGCCTGCTCTTTGAATAGAAAATGTATTAAAAAGAAAAATATTTTCTAAAGAAAGCTATCTTTAAGCCATCAATGAAGACATTAGTTCAATACAATAAAAAAATTCTCTAAAATCATGTATTTTCGTACAAACTACCATCAGAAGCAAAATTACTAGCAGCACTAGTGACTACAGGTCCAAGTATGCAGCTTCAGTTTGCAATTCGGACACAGCGAGGATGACGCGGGAAATACATCACTTCTTCCCCATCATGGCACACGGAGCTCTGACTCACCTGGAATAGAGCTCGGAGGATCACAGGAAGAAGGAAGGCAGCCGTCTTCCCGGAGCCGGTGTCGGCGCTGGCCAGGACATCTCGGCCCAGAAGTCCCACGGGAATCATCTGCATCTGGATGGGCGTGGGGACCTCGTAGCCTGAGGCCTTCAAGTTGTGGTTCAAGGCCTCGGGGAAGCCGCAATGCTCGAAGTCAACCACCGGCCTGGCGACGCCTTGCCCTTGAACTACGATTCCCAGCTGCCCTCGAAGGTTTTCAATCTGGTCCTCCCGGAGACTGGAGATGAAGGCGTGCTCGGTGTAGACGTAAGCGGCCGGACGCGGAGCCGCCGGCTCAGAACCCGCTTCCTGCGGACCGCTGGGCTCCCCCTGCCCTGCCCGCCCCTCAACCTGCAGCAGGTGCCTGGCCTTACACTCCAGGCTACACACATCCTCGTCCGTCGTGTCGCAGACGTACTCTCCGAACCGGCCGCACACGACGCACACCGGCTCCCCCGGCTGCGCCCAGCGCTGGGTTTTGGAGAAGGACTTCACGGGCTCCTCGGGGAGATCGCTGTCCCTCGCACCCGTTCAGGTCCGGCCAAAGCCACATC